GATCGCCAACTCTCGTAGTGGCCCAAAAAAAATAAAAAATAAAGAAAAAGGCAAACCCCCACCTAAATACAAAAAAAAAAAAAAAAAAAAAAAAAAAAAGAACTCAGTTCTTAAGTCAAGCCTATACATGTAATAGTAATAACAATATAAATTAGCCAATCATATGAATGCCTTCTGATCATAAATTTGAACAAATGATATACATTTAGCCAATTATATAGAATAATGATATGTATTCAAACTAGAGGCCTGCATAGACTGGGCTAAAATTTAAATTTTTTAAAAACTTTTCAAAATAGTGGACCTAATAAGATAAAATATAGTAAAAAGTAGATCGAACTTTTAAAAAACATAATAAATTTTATTTGGTAAACCAAGTAGGCTAGCAAAAGTTCAATTGTTTAGGCCCATGTTAAACTCTAATTCGGACTTTATTTGGGACAGGTCCTAAAAAGTCTATGTGAATTGACTTAAACAAGCTTTTTAACAATTTTAGAGGTAAGCACCTTATTTACTGAGTCTAAGTTAGTGGCTAGATAACAGGTTAGTGCTGCAAATTATAATAGTATATAGAAATCTATGTCCAAATTACAATAGAGATTACAATAAAGATCCAAATATAGGTAAGCATAATTGAAATCATTTTAACATATAGCAGTTACTAATCTTTGAACAGGATTAACACAAAAAAAATTGGTAGTACAAAGTAAAGTCAACTTTGCTAGAAGAAGCCAGCTGCATTTACAACCTGAATCTTACTTTTCAAAATCTAATATTTTTATAATAATTGCTAAATTTTATTATTTACATTTTATATTGATAACCAGCTTGCATTATGCAGATAGAAAACTATAGCCAATACTATATGACATTAATCTAATTGCTTATAATAATGTCTAGCATAATCTTGGTTGCCATTTCTAGAAGCATATCTATTTTAGTAATTGTATATAAATTGTAACTGCATTTGTTAAATAAAACTTATTTCTAACAGATTATTTTCAAATTGAAACATGTATACAATACTTTTAGAAATTTAAGGCATAGCTTATTATTGACTCAAAATAGAAAATAAACTAAGAAAACTATCATTTAAGAAGAGTTTTTGGTTTTGAGAAGGATGTAAGGTTTGTATGTTCAGATTTTAATTTTTATACTAACAAGGTCATATGTTTAAATTTAATTACAATTTCCTAATTGGTTGTTATAGTATCATATCTTAGAAGGATAAATTTTTTCAAATTAAATATTTTGTTAAATTTATTAATATAATATGAGATAAAATTGCATAGCATATAATAAATAAGAGTCAAGACTTTAATTAAAATTATATACAAATACCAAACATTAGTTTTTCTAAACTATTTGTTTTTGATCTATTGAGAATTAGCAGAAACTATGTTTCTACTTATTCACATATAGATCAGGATATTATTTGTTAATTCTGTAATATAGTAATTAGTAAATTACTTAAATAATACTTGATATTTTAAACTAAAATTCTGCATAAAACTACTAAAAAGTATTAATAGTACTAGTTAAATAGGCTGCAAAAACATATTTAATTATGTATAGACAATAATAGATAACAATTGCAGAATTTATTCTATAATCATATTTGTTTTAATAAGTTTACAAAGTTATTTATTATTTTTAAATATCTTTGAAGAAACTTATAGAGAGTTAGTTTCTTTAATTTTTATTTCTAATAAACTCTCGATAGTATATAAATTCCAAGAAAATTTAGAAATTGATAATGATAAAAATAATTTGTTATTAATTAATAATAGTGAATTAGAAGATAATTTACTAATAATTAATAATGATAATAACTCAAATTTTAATTTTGATTCTGTACTATCTAAAATACAAATTGATATATACTGTCAAATTTATATGAAACAATCTTTTAAAGATAAAAAAGATAATGCATTAAACACTATTAAATTAGTTAAAAAACAACTAGATAATCAAGAAAAAGAAACATATCTTCATCAGCTTTCTACAAATAAATGTTATACAAATAATTGCTTAACTAAAATTAATCATAATAATGGATTAATAAAGTATAAACAAATTCAAAACTATACAAAGACTAAATTAGATGTATTTTTACTTGTAATAATAGAAGTACTAATAAGAATATCAGAACATATAACTAAGAGAAATTCTAAAATACTTTATATTATTTTATACTAATTTTAGAGAATTAAAATTTGTAGAAAAAAGGGATGTAGCAACCTAGTGAAGTGGTCAGGTTGTCAACCCCCCAAGTGGTAGATTGGGTGTTCAAATTCCATCGACGATGAAAATTTAGATAATCACCTATGTAATATTCATATTATGGCAACTGTTACTAACAGTTGGGTTAGGATACCTGTAATAACAGTTGCACCAGCATGACTGGCAGGTCATGGAGCATTTGTGCAATGTTGAAGTTACACAGAGGAATGCAAACTGACATATTGGGCGGTGCAAACACTAGATAAGTCCTTGTGGCTGTGTAAATCTGTTGAAATTGGGTAACAAGAAGTCCATTTGAGAAGAC